ACCGAGTACGTGGTGGGTCCCCTGCCAACGCCGGCGTACCACCGGGATGTGACGGTGCAGAAGTATGGGGGGAAGGTGCCGTACCACCGCAGACCTGTTACTGGCCAGGAGTATACGGATATCTACGCCCTCATCCGAAGGGAGTTGAAAAAGGCTCCGCAATTCCTCACCACATGCTGCGAGTCTGACGGGACTGACCTGGCCATCCTCACCACGGCCCCACGGGGCTTCAAGTCTGGCGACCGCACAACCTGGTTTGTCCTTTTCCACAACGTGGCTGGCACCGGCTACTACCTGTCACCAGTGGGGCTGGAGGTGCTGGTGGAGCACAGGGACCTCCACGTCTCCCGTTGGCAGCTGCGCAAAGTCTTCTACAACGGGCTGTACTTTGCCAGCACAGAGGATCTGGAGCAGGAGTTTCTGGCTGGCACACTGGAGGTCGTCAGGCTCAAGAAGCCCCAGGATGATGCAGTGCTGGGCTCAATGAGGCCTCGGTACCCACCCGACTCCCTGGGTCCGCTGCAGTTTGAGCCCCAGGGTCCCCGCTACAGCGTCAGGGGCAATCGCGTCACCTACCAGGGCTGGAGCATCACTTTTGGCATGAACCCCAACTCTGGCCCACGCCTCTTTGACATCAGGTACCGGGGGGAGAGGATTGTCTATGAGCTGAGTCTCCAGGAAGCCTTAGCCCTGTATGGCTCCAACTGCCCTGGGGGCATGTCCACCCGCTACCTCGATGGGAGCTTTGGCATCGGCAGGTTTGCCTACGAGCTGGTCCGGGGCGTCGACTGCCCCTACACAGCGACCTATGTGGACCGGCACTACCTGGTAGAGTCAGATACTCCCAAGACCAACCAAAACTCACTCTGCATTTTTGAGCACGACTCTGCCCTCCCTCTGCGGCGCCACTTCTCTGACTCACAGTCCTTTTACTATGGTGGGCTGCGGAAAAACACGCTGGTCATCCGAACCATCTCCACGCTCGTTAACTACGACTACATCTGGGACTTCATGTTTCATGGCAGTGGGGCCGTGGAGGTCCGTGTGCATGCTACCGGCTACATTAGCACCTCCTTCCTCCACGGACAAGGCACTAACTATGG